CATTGAAAAATACAGCATTTCGTGCGTTCGCTATCTCTCCACAACGCTTTTTGATGAGTGGTGTATGATGAGTGGTGTATGATGAGTGGTGTATGATGAGTGGTGTATGATGAGTAGTGTATGATGAGTGGTGTATGATGGATCAGTGGTGTATGATGAGTGGTGTATGATGAGTGGTGTATGATGAGTGGTGTATGATGAGTGGTGTATGATGAGTGGTGTATGAAAAGTGGTGTATGATGAGTGGTGTATGATGAGTGGTGTATGATGAGTGGTGTTTGATGAGTGGTGTATGATGAGTGGTGGTTGAACAGCTGTTGAATGTCCGTAACACGGAAGTTTTGCACACTAAACTTCCTTTGATGAGCTAGGCTATAGTGTCGAGTGACCATGCAGTAATTAAGATTGCTTGAGGCTTTTCTGTGGCAACTCTCTAGGCCAAAGAAATGCTCGGATGAAGTGCTCTTGAGGAAAACAGGAGCACCCGCGCTTTAGTGCCAAACCTGGGAGGCTTTCCTCGGACAACGTGGTGCCATCCCGGTCGGATGGCAAAGCGTGGTCATTGTTGACCCAAAGTCGCCGGGCGCGGCTCGGTGTCCTGATCGTTGGCCTCCACAGGATCCCAGAAAGTTGTGTACCTCGAACTGATTTCGATAGGGATCTCAACACGCGGAGACTACGACGTACATGGGTGATGAGTGACGACGTACCCCCGAAAAGGCCAGGTTCGGACCCGTTTCTTTTGGATTCGCAGCCGTAAGCTGCATAGTGAATATCCTGGCTGCTCAAGCACGTCTCAAGCACAAAAGCACAGCCGCGCACGGAAAGCCATCTGAGCTGAGGTATACTACAGCTGCCGAGACGTTTGAGTACCTGGCATCTTAGCGAAGGACGACCAACACGCGGAGCCTTCAAAGCACTGCGCTTGGTAGCTCATGCAAGCAGCACCATATTCCTCCATGATCCTCCATGCAATTACTTGTCGTTTTGGAAGACAAAAACGAGTCCACGCACCAGATCCTGACAACAAAACCTACTAGTAACAAGAAGCTACTAGGGGCTCCTGGCCTTACAACTAGGAACAAGGACGCTACTACTAGGGGCTCCTGGCATCGGCTGAAAAGGATGGACCCGGAACGATTGGAGCTTGGCGTGCATCAAAGGCGACGTCTCACGCGCGCACGTTGACAGCAATCCATGGCAACCTTTGGCCATCAGAAAAGCTTCCATCACCACATCCTGCCAGCGTGACGGCCCTGCACAGGCTGTGAGTCATGGCTGTGGGGTCATGACACCCAGAAGAAGCACACCTTACCAAAGTCACTTGACTATTGAGGATAGATCCTAAATTATCCTAAGAACACTCCCAAGAACATCTACTTTAACAACCAATACCTTGTGAATCCTTGTGAGTCCAGTCAAAATTCTTAAAATGGTCTGACTACAGTTACTGGGTGATCCAAAGGGAATGTCCCTTACTTTGATGCCTTTTCAGAGGTGGCACCCAACTCTATATACTCAGAGTTTTGGCTTTGCCCCACCTCCGATTCCAAGCATGCAAACATATTTGCAAAACTTTCTATGGCAATTGTCCAATCATGAGGCCAGCAACAGCGTTTCACATTCGATGATGCAGCTGCGTTTCCAGGCAAAGAGATGTCTGATCTTGTTGGTCTTTGGAGCTTGGTTTCGACGGGTTTTGCATAGCAACACGGTCCATGCACAGGTATCTGTCAACAATTTATCCAAGCCCCCGTCCTCTGCTTTCTTGTACGAGTCCAAGCTCTTGTCAAAGTGAGCCGCCTGTGTTCGAGCATCTCAAGAATCTGTGGAAATCCAACCCAAGGAATTCGCATAACTGAATGGTCGGCACAGCTGCTTGCCAGCTGCTTGAGATGATCGACCGGTCACATGCGAAAAAGAGGGCAGTGCAGGGGGCGTGCCCCCCCATTGGGTCTGATATGCTGGCTATACGACACGTGTGAAAACCGCCACGGGAAAAGAGAAACCACATTACTCGAGCCTGAGAAGCTTCGGAAGGGAGCGTTGCATCATAGGTGGAGACGTGTAAACCTCGTCGGTGCAGAGTGTAAACGTGTTTTCAGTGCCAATTTGGGTCAACGTTGGGAGCCCAATCCACAGCGTGCCATGGCGTGTGTGGGAGGATTTCGGCTCAGCAATTCCCGAAGAAGAGCACTAAAATTATCAAAAATCTGTCTTTTGTAGGGTTTCAGCCTATAGTGACTTATAGTGTAACACTTGGATGCAATGCCAGAAACCTCTCAACCACGGTCCAGCAATGCCCGAAGACGACCCTCAGTCGGAAACCGAGGCGAACTCGAACCCTCTGAGCGGGGGCGCCGGCTGCGTCCAACGCACGGGTCAAGCGCTTCTTCAAGGAGGCATCGTCGCTGCACAGAAAGACGCCGTCCATCTGCCACGCCGAGCACCTCGGCGTGAGCCAGCGGCGTAAGCCAGCGGCGAGCGGAGGATCGAGTATGACTATGAAGCATCTATGGCCAGCACCTAATTGAACAAGTATGAACGAGTGCAACATGACCCCACCTGGTATCCGGTCAAGAAGTATACCATGTAAATCCACACCAGTGAACCAGTCATGTACCCTTTGTGCGAATGGAAGATCTAGGCTCTTGGCTGGGCAACAATGCGCTGGAGCAGCTTCTCATCTGACAACTCAAAGTTCGCGGCGGCTTCAACCACTTTGTCACTCCGGCGAATGTGAACCTCATGGCCCACGGCGCCGGCACAGATCCACAGAGTGCAGTTTGACCCCTGCTGAGCCAAGAAAAGATCCATCTGGCCGTGCCAACATGAGGCAGCGGCGGGCAAAGCATTGCTTGAGTTCGAGGCACACAGCTTGGTAAATCCTTTGAGGATCCTGGTCATTTGCAGATCAGTTTGATAGTCCCCTTCATTGCCCAAAACCACCTGCCATGGATGCCTTCTCAAACCAAACAACTTAAACTGGTCTGATCCCCCAGTCCGCCAGATTGAGGCATCGGCTGCAAGTCTCTTTCCAGGCGTCAGGATCGATGCCATGGTCTTCTCCAATTTCTCTTGAAACCTGGTTTTACATGGTTACCACAACGACGCTATTAGGGGCTCCTGGCCTTACTACGAACGGAGCAATCGGACGCGACTTAGATCCATAGCAAGAAGTTGAGCCTTGGTTACAAGCAGCTTGGGCTCGGCACCCCAACTTGGGGTCGGCAGGACCGCCCGGAGCTTGTTCGTCTCAGAACATAAGCCTTGCTTGTATAGGATTTGTAGTAAGTCTATGCTCGATGTGTTCCAAGTTTCTGGCATATCCATGTTTGAGTGCAAACACTGACAAAACATGACAAAACACAGCAACGTCCAACCCCGTATTGAAAATAGATTAAAACATATTGATCTCAACCTACCAACACCGATCAATACCAACTGAATCCAACTGACCTCTATGTACGTGAACAGCAGTAGGACTGCCACACCATCCTCAAAACTCAGACGTCTTGGCAACCATTCAAGCCAGCCAGTCGTCCTCTTTCGCACTCAACCATGACCACCATGAAACGAACCAGTGACCACCATGACCACCAGCCGAGACGACACCTCCGACACGACAACACGTCGATTCATTCCACGACACCACCCGACACGTCGAGCGGACGAGGCGATCGCCTGGGCTGCAAGGCGATATTCCGCCGGCACAGCGCGCGGCCGTGGGCCGCCTGCTCCAGGGGAATGCCTCCATAGTCCTGGCGCGGAGGATGCGGAGGAGTCGGTGAAGTGCGGAGAAGTCGGTGAATTCGGACGGGAATCGTTTCGAGATCTTTCTTTCGTGAAGCTCATGTTGGTTTCCATTTGCTGTCCATGTGGTTTCCGGGCTTATCTATGAATCCCAAAGAAGAAATGGTCTCTCTATATCTGCTGGAGGTCTGTAGGAGGCGTCAATGCAGGTCAATGTGCTGTGGATTGTCTGGGATCGGAGTTCAGCGAAGGGCTGCATCACGAGTTCTGTGAGTTCCGTGGATTCCGTGGGTCTGGGAATCACTCTGCTGAAAAAGAGGAAGGATCAGGATCCCTGTTCAAGTCAATTCAAATGTCAAAACCTGACAACGAATTCATTTGAGCCCCTCAGCAGCCTCCCAAAAAGCCTCCTTCCTCACCTTTGCAGCCCCTGACATGACACCTGGATGACACCCCGATAGCGGCCATAGACCGCATGGTGCTTGGTCGTCTCCAAATACCTTAGGCAGGATATGGCAGGATCACTATCCTGCAGCTCTTCATGAACTCCTGACGTTCAAAAGGAATCTTTCATCTCATGCCCCTCTATGACTTTGCCGATCTGGTGCTTTATTGTCTGCTTCCACCTCTCTTCTGGCTTTGATGGGTGGTATCGCCGTCGAACTATTGAACAGCACTGAAAATCACCGAAGATTTGGCTCGGCAGCCAAATGGCTCAAAAATCTGGGAAATGTGTACTTTGGCTTGGAATTCATGTTGGACATGCTGCCATTCAAGAATACCGTTATATGTTGGGAGCTGCACTGGCTTCTTTGTCAGTGAGCCCCTAGGAGCATATAACCTTAGGAGCTATATAGATCTATTTCTTCTCGTTCAATTCAGCCAAAGCACCGCCCAGAGCGAATTGCCTGACGAACGGCCTGGCGTTATTGAGAAATCCGTCTTGTTGGTGACAAGTGTTGACTGTATAAAAGTATACTTAACACCACTGAAAAGGGCAAACATGTCTTCTGCCGAGCTTTTTACATAGACGTGGACTGCGGGTTTTTTCTCGATCCACAAAAAACCGGGGCACGCCTCGCAGGTCATCTGCAGGTCTGCCGGCTGCTGGAAAAAGGCGCTCCAAACGTTGGACTCTCCGGGAGGTCCTCGATACAACAGCTCGCTGGAGGACCTCGGACGGACGGAATGTGGGGCGACCGTGAGTCGGTGCGAACTTCATTCGATCGGTCCAGCCGGGGTTGGAGGATTTGGGGGAAGGTCGGTCAAAGGAGTATGTGCTTGACGTTAGGTGCTTACTTTGTGCTTTTGACGTTTCTTGATCACCTGAGTGTATCATCGTGAAGAACGGAAGTCGGCAGTCGAACGGAAGTCGCAGCGAGACCAAGCAGGGTCACGGCTTAAGGATTCCTCAGACTAACCTTGTCTTGTGCACTGCCAGCATCTGCCAGCTATGTTAGCAAACTCAAGGAGGGCTTCTTCGGTCGTTCAAACCACTAATGCCGAAGCGTTCTTTTGGCCGACCGAGTCCTTGAGGTCCTTGCTTGTCTTGTTTAGGTCTTCAACCCCGCAAGGACAGCTTTCCCTGCGTTCGGTGAGCAAATCGCCCAGTCGGACCCAAAACGGCCGAATGCAGCAAGATGTTCATGCTGAACGGTGTGAATTCCATCTCTCCGCAGTTCGGACAAACGCTGTTTGGGTGTGTCTGAAAAAAAGAACAGCTCACCCCGTATTGACTCCATAGTTGTAAATATCTTATGTTCATCTGAGTCCACTTACCAATGGCTTCGTGAGGAAGTCCTCATTTTTCTGTGACCAAAGACATTCTGTGCTACCAACTGACTCTACTGCCTCAGGGTCACCAACCGACCCCGAAGAACGCGTCTTCCGCTACTCGGCCGTTTCGGCCTGTCCACAGGGCACCCCGCCAGTCCACGATGAGCCCAAGGCCCTGTCTCTCGCACGTGTCCGCATGGCCCAAGGCCAAGGAGAACATCGAGAAGAGGCCATGAGGGTGGCGGCAACGCCAAATCAACACCTGACTGGCCAGGTGGCGAGGCGGCATCGGGGCGGCCAGGTGAAGCGCCGCCCCGACAGGGAAGACGTGACGACAGCAACGACTGGCAAAAAGGATGGTTTGAAATAGATGGAAGCACCAACGACTGGCTAGGACGCTAGGACCTACGACTAGTGGTGAGCAAGTACCGTAAAGGCTGGAGTCCGAATAGTTCGGAATCCAAGACAGCTGCATGGGGGAAAAATGAAATACAGCTACTGATGAACTCTGCACCAACCTGCACCCCACAACAAGCTACACTGCACCAATCTGTAACCTGAAGAAACACCCTCATGGTCTGCCATAGTTGCTGTAACTCTATCAGCAGGGGCATCCCACTTAGTGTCGTAGGATGCACTGCCAATCAACCACATCAGAACCTTTGCTACATGCTGTGCAAGATCTGCTTTGCTTCGATAGCGCACAGTAGCCTTTTGATCGAGATAGGGCAAGAAAGTCTTTGGGAGGAAACACCTTGAAGTACTGTACCCTGGCTGCAGCACGCAGTCTCTGCAAACACACGCACAAACCCAATATCGAGCAATCAAACAACTCCGTGAGCACAGACGCATGTCACTCATATGTTTTCGATTCTGCGGTCCTCTACCTCGTTCTCACGGGCAAAAAGGTACACCTTCCGCGGTTCCGCTGCACCTTCTCTGGAGCACTCTTCCCCGGTTGTGAGGCCCTCATCGCTGCATCCCGGCCTGAAAGAACAGCAGAGTGGCAGAAGCTGAATCCCAGGAGATTGGACAGATACCGGGTGGTTCATGGACACCCCGAATCACCTCTTTTTGGGGCTACTAAAGCTAACAAGTAACACCCCATTGGGGGGGCTCTGGTGTTCAGATGGTGAATTTTTGGAGGGCCAACATGATCGAAAGCCCGCACTCCCTCCATGGTGTGCCTAGAGCCTAGGTCCGGGTCATCTGCGGCTGCGCATTCTTCGTCCACGAGAACCTCACTATTCGGGCTTCAAGCCCCTGGATTCCTGGCAGGGGGCCGAAGAGATCTTCCGTGTCCATGCCTCCAATTGGAGGTTGGTGTACATGTCACTGCAAACATTGAAGAAATTCCTGCAAAGCCGAAGTAGTTCACCCTTTCACCCCTCCCTCGGTTCAGCCCGCTTCCCCCAGTCACCGAGGCGCGGGGGATCAAGTTCCAGGCATCGGGCCACGGCCCCTCGGTGTGGCTCGGTGCGAAGCGCCAAGAACTGAAGATGGGTGAAGCTTCAACACCATGTCGTTTCACCAGTTCCTTTGACTTCACTGGCAAACTGGCTTCGAAGTTGTTGAAACAGAACTGAGTTCAATTCGGCATACTGGCAGAATAGCAAAGTGGTAGGCCTGCAAAGGTGGCCCTTCGGCCTTCTGGCCGGATGAGCATGCTCTTTGCGCCCCAGGTGATGGAGTCTAGAAGTCAATGTCGAGCCACACAGGTGGCTCATACACCTCTTTGGTTAAAGTACGATCAACATATGCTCTGTCCACCTGAAAAGCTCTGACCCTGGTTTTCGACCAATTCACGATATTCACTGGTTCAGAGGGCTCACAGCGAGCCTCCCAGGTCTGTATCGCCCAGGCGCATGCACCGTGTGGGGAGAGGCTTCTGGGCGGCGCAGCATGCGTGGGTCTGAGCACCTGATAGACCGAACTCGGCGGGATCGACCGAACTGGGTCACCCGGGTTCAAATGCACGCAGCGTGGATCGTGGATCGGGATCATGGATCTCCTCGGTCGTGGATCTCCTCGGTCTAGGTTCCCACCTAGATGAGAATCGACTACCCAAATCTAACATGGTCAACCTACAAGGGTCAACCGGTCTGTGGGTGCCATGGACCCACAGCCTGACTTCAGCGTCATGTCTTCGAAGACAGGTCACTTCAGCTATCCCTTGAACGGGGTGCCAAAGCGCTCGCTTTTTCCTCCATGCTTTTGACCTGTAGCAACCCCTTCTGCCTTGCAAAGCTGAGTCTCCCACTCCACTGGAGCCCAGCTGACAGGCACCGTTGCAAAGTTCTTCAGCGCCGCCGTCCCCACCGGCGACCGTACCAGAGGGCCCGGCGCCGGTGCTGCTGGCGCCGCTGGCGCTGGCGGCGCTGGCGCTCGCAGCGGCGCGGCCACGCTGATGGGGAGCCGGAGTGGCTCGAAGCTGGGGATGGTCATGGGCACAGAGACCGGACAGGGCACCGACGGCACCGACGGCACCGATGAGACCGTGGGACACGGTCGAGCGAGGGCGATGGGAATTGAGGTCATTGGCGAAGTCATTGGCATGGAGGTGAGCATGATGGGCGAGTTCGGCCAACCAAAGGTCCTGGCTTCGGAGTTCCCAAAGGATGTCCAACATGCTGGCTTCACTCTTCTCACTCTTCACCTGCTAAAATGGATGGTTACTCCAAGTCCATCTAGCCATCGACTTCGCCTCTCTCTCACCTTGGACCGCACCGTCCTCCGGCAGGCACGGAGGCTCCGCACTCTGCAGTCGCTGCCCACGGGCCGAAGCCAGCTACAGCGCTGTAGCCGAAGCGAGACAAGCTACAGCTCGGTGACAAGTGGCACCACACTGCGAATGGCACATCAGAGTCCACAGGAAATTCGGAAAGACCACATCACACAGGAGGTATAGGAAACAGGACCTGGACCTGGACCTATACGAGATTTCAACAATTGAAGGACTACCGGTATCACCAGTAGATGAAAGAAGCCGAAAGTGAGTCATCTCGGAAGACTTGTGCAACTGCGGTAGCGGTAGCTACAAGATCATGCATTGCAATCGCTTCAACTATAGACAATGGCCGCGACAATTGGGGAGGTCATACCCCAGCTGTCCGAATGAAATTTGTCTATCCCATCCCTCATCCCGGAATCCCATCCCATCCCTCATTCCATCCGCGTCTTTCTCCACCGGCAGCTCGCCTTCCCCGCGCGACGCGCTCGCAAGCTCCGGGTGTTCCAGCAGCTCGCGCGCATGGGCGGCATCCGGCCGGGAGATGGCGGTGTAGCTCAGATGCTGGAGCAAGAGACCAATGAAGCCGTGAAGCTCCTGTTTCGAATACAAATCGGGCTCCACTTGCAGGTGCAGGTGCTCCTGACAGCGGAAAGATGGAAAGCGATGGAAAGGAAGCCAAGAGATGGATCAAAGGACCCTCTGATAGTGAATAGGCTTGAAACAAAAAGGAATCTTAGCTATATTGGCTTCATTTAGCTTCCAAAAATGCAGGGAGCACCGTAAAACACAACTATGTCAACAAGTGAGAAGCCACCTTGGCCGCGACAAGCATCAGGGTGAAAACCAAGCGCTCCCAGTTTCTCGAGGTCAAATGCAATGGCGGGGTCGAGAATGAGATGCGCTCCAAGTAGACCAGGAGGTAAACCTAAGCAGAAAAGGAACGACGGCTCATTCACTGTGATGCCAATCCTCCCACCACACTTGTCCTCTTAGACTATTCTAGACCCTCAAAGAACGAGTAAATCCACCATGATCTACCATGATCACGGTGCCACCGGCTCCACCAGCTCCTCCACCACTTCCACCAGGGCACCACCAGCTGTTGGAAGCTGGAGCCACCAAGTTGCTCCACCTCGGTCGAACTCAAGTCGCTCCACGTCTCGGTCAAGAACTCGGCGATCTCCAGCGGCTTCGGCATGCGAGGGACGTCGTCTTCGCGTCGGCCTCCGGGCGCTTGGAGGAAGGGCCGAAGGGAAGCAAAAGGAAAGGCCATTGAGTTGGGGTCACTCCCACCAGAAATGAAGTATGTCAAAATAGATCCGACACAATCTTCAAAACAAATAGGACTACAAATAGGACATGCAAAGTCAGCTCTTGGGAGCTATATACAATTATATACATGTTCTGTTGGGACTTCTCATTCTCAACCACTTCTATTGAAAAAATATGAGCCCACCATTTCAGCTTGACTAAGCCACCAAGCAAAACACCGCAACTCTCCCTCCACAAATCTCATCAAATCTCTATATTCATCTATATTCATGATTCAGTGATTCCCCACTAATTCATTTGGTTCTCTATCAGATCACGTCTTGACCTCTGTACCAGTACCCCCTACCCCCTATCTCTGTAGCAACACCCGTCGCAACACCCTTCATCCTCACGTGTTCGGTGCCACGTCTTCGGCCTGGCGGCCAGAAGATGGCATCGTCCGTGGAGTCGGTGGACCTTGGAATCGTTTTTCTTCGGAAGGAGCCGGGGGGTAGGGCTTGCGTGAACAAGGAATAGCTGAAATAAAAAGAAAAAGCAAAGACACAAGCCCAAGCATCAAAGAACTTAAGCAATGTATATATAATACATAGCAAGCAATGACAGCAATGATTAAAGACATGTTGATGATCGCTGTCACTCTGAACGCCGCAGAAGTCGAAGTTTGATCGGCTTCGATCCGAGTCGGACCCGTCCATCCTGAAGGGTGACCCACAGCTGTGGCGGCACCAGTCCGACCGGTTGAGCCTACCAGACTGGTCGGGCGAACGTGGTGTTTGACCTGTTCAATCCGTCTACAAGCTCATCCAAATCTCTTCTAGGATGCCCAACCGGCCATCCTACCCACCGGCAAACAAAAAACGCCAATGGGCGGCACTTTGACCCAACCTCCGACCGCTCCAAACGACCACGGCCACTTGCACATGATGGCATGACCTGTCGGTCGAGATGCGGCAGCATCATTTTGGATAAGATCGCTCCACAGGCATTGGCACAACCCTCCTCTGTGTTCAAATCCTCCAGCCGCTCGCACGCTAGTGGAAGGGTGGACCAGCGAACTCGTGCATGTTCAGAAGCCATTTCTGGCACTGTGAAAGAGGTACACCTGGCAGATCCAGCGTAGTGGTGCTGAAGGTCTGTCGGCGGCAAATCTCCAAGAACTTTGCCAGAGAGATGATCTTGATCTTGGATCCTTAACATCAATGTCCCTTCCCAATCTTCCCAACACACTCCAATTCTTGCTGTGATACTGTCCCAACTACTTTCAGCAATTGTCCCAAACGTTCACCTTCCCTTGGCCTTCGGAGGTGCTTCTCCTAACCATTCTGACAGGGAAAGTTGGAATCGCAGCTGAACACCTGAAACACAGCGGCCCAAACACAGCTGCTGAAACACAGCAGCTGTTTCACACGCCTTCTCCAACGTCCAAGATTCTGAGAAGATTGGCGCTCTTCACCGTTCTCAAGCTCCAATGCCGCTGCCTCGTCACCGTGGTCCTCCAAGCAAGGCCGCGTCAAATACCTCGGGCCCCAGAAGGCCGCAGAGACGTGGGCACTTCCTGATCTGAAACTCCCAGAGGCCGCGAATGGATTTTGGGGGGAACGAAAGGTGAACCGAGTGAACCGGGTCTTTCACCACTTTCTTTATGTTTTTTGGGTGCGGATACCATGGGAAGCCCACTCCCAAAAAGGTTTTTTCGGGCAGGTGATCCATAGTTTTGTTGGTGCATCTCTGACCGGGGCTTAGCGAGTGGCTTCGCAGTCGAGTCAAGAGTTCGAAGTAAACAGAAATGGACACACTCGACGGACTAGCGCATGTTCTCTGAGAGAACGTGTATTTTTACATAGAGGAACACAGTCTTCCAGAGTTCTATGATGTTCTATAATATGTGTTCTTCTTGTAGCCTGCAGGTGTCATGTAATTAAGAAAAACAACCTTAACTTAATACAGTCGCAAATGAATTGGAAGTCCTTCCTCCAGCTTGGAGACCACAAGACAGAATCTGACGACTCTAAAGCTGGGGCCAACACTGCTGAAGCTGGTCTGCCAAAAAGCGAACTTGTTCCGCCTGAAACGGCAGGCGGAGCAACGGAGCAGCAGAGCAGTGCCCTGTAAAGAAGGTGTTGACAGGTTTTTGTAGGATTCCAGAGCGACGTGGCAAAGCGTGTCCGCGAGCGTAGGATTCCAACCACTCATTTAATAGGCATATGCGGCATTACAACCTTACAATACCGCTCCAAGCGGCCCCAAACATGAGAAAGTATATGCATGAAGCTCACGATGACGTACATTGACCCTGTTCCAGGATGTTCCAAGGAATCCTCGGAAAAAGTATCGTTCCAGTCGATGTCCTCGGCAGCCTGTGTCTCATCATTCTTGGGTTGACAAAAGAAGAGAACCTGAATCAAATACTCTTCGTTAAGTGGTCAGCCCACTCTTGACGTCTCATGAGCATGTAATTGTTTGTGTCCAATTTCCCTACCAACAGCGCGCCTTTTTTCAATAAGGCTCTGTCAGGGTCATTTCGCACGGCTACGGCATCGGCTGGAGGCGAATACATCATGTATAGTGGCTACACATGGCTACACCATTCAGAACGTACCGATGACCAGTGAATCATGTCAATTGAAAGTTTAGCAGCTGTGTCAACACGTTGTACCCGCCTGCCCGGCTGTGGCCAACACCGCAGGTCCAACTTTGGGACGGGCCACATGTGCCCCTCACAACGATGTGAAGGTGCAGCCATTACCTCCCACCTCAGGGACTCAACATGACTCCGCAAAGAATAACGGAAACGAAGAACCGGAAAAGAACCAACCAGAACTTGTCAGATTCTTAGAAACGGAGAAAGACAAGGAAAGGATTGAAATTCAGCATTTCACATAACCGTTGCTTAAATTGGTTTAAGAAACACATTTAAACATGTTCAACACTTGAATCAAGCTGTGTATGAAAATAGGGAGACAGCCAAAGACCCCCTGGAAGAAAGAACATAGACCTAACACCCCTTTTGGTTTGGGACCCTGGAACGCCGAGTTCGGCGTCAAAGGGCCTGAAAAAACCAGGTGAGTCCTTCGGCGAAGCTGGCGAAGCTTGTTGGAGCCGAGTCCTTCGGATCTTCGATGATGACCGGCACCTCGTGCACCAGGAGCTTCGCATCCTCCAGAAGCTGTGGATACCTGCAAAACGAATCCCTCATGCAGAACGGATGGGTGACCTAAACCGGAAATGATGCAACATAATGCAACAACCGGACCCTAATGCCCTAAACCCTGCACAAACTTTGTGGGTACTTTGTGGGAGGCATATGGGGATAGAGCCTCTGCAATTCCCCAAGCACTCCAAGCACCACTTCACAAACGAAACAGAATCACGGCCATGGTCCCATTCAACATCATTCAGTTTGAAGAAAGTTCGGGGTGAAAACGACACGATGGGATCCGATGTTTGATCCATGTGACATGAGCTTCAGCTCTGACATCACGAAGGTGGCCGCCGTCTTTCCGTCCACAGACTGAACAGAATTCATATTGCAGTTGGCTCCTGACCACTCTCAGGGACACCGAAGACGACTAATTGTTAATTGATGCTCATTGAGTTTTAAAAAATTGTTTCATTCAACTGTATTTTAATGATTTTTTACTGCATATATAGTTATCAGTTGTTGACCTCAAAATTTGCCAGGCGACTGAACGTGAGCGAATCTGACACACCAGCTGTGATATCCAGCATGGCCAGGAAGGCCTCCCGAAAGGGATTGGGCACCATGTTGTGCCCTGTCATCGCAGCTGCAGTCCGCAACTCCTTCTGCCAATACCTTGTGCACGCTACGCACTTGGCGTTGACACGGTGGCATACTCACACAAGGAACACTTAGACC